TACCCCACCACACACACACACCTTGCTATAAAAACTCCACGGCCCACCTGTGTCACAACAACAATATAAAAGCCAGGGCTGGCATTAGGGGTACCAAGCAGGGCAATTGCCCGGGGCCCCATGACACAGGGGCCCATAAAAAGCTAAGTTGCTCAGGCTTCTGCTTCAGCCCCACGTGGCAGGGCTTAGGGTTTCTGCCCTGGGCCCCAGTGAAATAACCCTGGTCCTGCTGGTGACCCCTGGTTGAGAACCACTGCATTAAAGAATCTTCTGAATGACACATCTCTGGTGTACTGCCCTGAAAAGGAGGCTCTGTAGCCAGGCTAAGTCTGGTACAAGAGCCTGACCTGCTAGTAGTAGCCCTGCAACCTACCCTGTACAAGGTGTGCCTGACAATTCACATCTGGCTCTGGATCACAACCCCAACCAAACGTGCAGGGTATCTAGATTCAGGGGTTCGGTTTGACTCATTTAAGGGACAGGGAACAGATGCAAAATTCAGAACCCAATTTGGCGGCTGGACCCTTCCCCCAAAGCTCAGCCACTAGGGGGTGACATGATCACACATGGGAGCAACCAACCAGCAGTGACGCATACACAGGACAGTACATTACACTGCGAGCAGTTGTGCTCGTACCCAAGTATGGGGCCTGGAGGGAATTTCCCCCGGGGATTATTGGCAGAGAGTTTTAGTTGTGTTTTATCTCTTTGGCACGGAGTGGGAGTTGTGTGTTAGGAGCAGATGAGCATACTTCCAAGGGACCCTGGTTCCTTCTCACTGGCACCTGTTTTGATGGCACTGGTTGTATTTTAAGAGCTGTGTCACTACATGCATCAATGCCACCTGCTTTTTGAATGAAAACTGACAAGGTGTTTCTTTCTCAGACCAAGTGGCAAGCTGAGTTTCATTGACCATGTGGTGGGGAACCAGCCGGATCTTCAGATGGTCCCTGTGGCAGAATGGTGAGAACTGTAGCAGTTAGAAAAAGCCACTCAAGCAATTCTCTCTGCTAACAACAGTGTTCAGTAATTTATGTCCATGTTTAACATTCTATTTATTTTATTAACACTGCTGTCTTGCTGACAGGACACTTTGCACAATGTTCAGTTCTCTTAGGAAAGTACACTCTGGCTTCCAGGGAAGCAGGGCTATATTCCAACATGGTTCTCAAGAGGGCAAGGGCTAGCCAATGTGCTGTGGGATTTAGGGGAGTGCTATCCGCTGGCTAGGGTCACGACCAGCCTGCCCACATGTCTGCATATGTCAGAAGATATTCTAAAGAAAAAAAGTAAATTATAGTGTAAATGAAGTAAAACTCCTTTATCCACCTGAATCACATAGAGGAAGTGACATTGACGGAGTGACTCAAAGAAAGACAGGTTTCAGAGTAGCAGCCGTGTTAGTTTGTATCCGCAAAAAGAACAGGAGTACTTGTGGCACCTTAGAGACTAACAAATTTATTTGGGCATACGCTTTCGTGGGCTAAAATCCCCACTTGGTAAAGCAACTCCCATCTTTTCATATGCTGTGTATTTATTACATATGTGGACTTGCGGGATCGGTCAACACTACGCGCCGCCCTGATGGTTCAGGGACAACTACATCGAACACATCACTGGCCACTGACAGTAACAGGAGGCGTGAGCCGGAGCGACATTGTGCATTGACTACGAGAAAGGGAACGAGATGCATATGCTGTGTATTAAATTTGTTGGTCTCTAAGTTACCCCAAGGACTCCTCGTTGTTTTTTCAAAGAAAGACAGTCAGCTGAGGAAACCCCTGGAAAGTGACTCCCAGCTTAACACAGCAAGTAGCCAAAAGACCCCTCGTAAATACAGTCCCACCCCACATTCCTGAGAGACCTAAAACAAAGTAAGCTGTGTGAGGTTTCAGAGTAGCAGCTGTGTTAGTCTGTATCCTCAAAAAGAACAGGAGGACTTGTGGCACCTTAGAGACTAACACATTTATTTGAGCATAAGCTTTCGTGGGCTACAACCCACTTCTTCGGATGCACAAGTTTATTTAATCAGCAAAGACCATTATCAGGTGATGTAGCCAGAGGGCTTGAGTGAGTCACATGTAAAGCCACTGATGTTAGTAGCGTTACAGCAGTGAAAGGCAGAGTGAGTGTAAATGAAAGTTATTTTGAGTGGATCCAATTCAGCTCTGCCAGAAGATGATGTACTACTCATTAATTTCAAGAGGCGAGATGACGTGGTGGCAAGGATGTGTTGTCCTGTGAACCTGCAGACATTCAACTGCTCATGCCCTGTTAAAGCGGAAGGGAGTTTCATGGGTTAACCCTGGCAAATGAGAAGGAAACTATCTTCTTTACTTTATTAATCTAGTGACAGAAACTCACCAGTGCTGAAGTCCACAGTTCTCAAAAGCTATGAGTTGGTTTAAGGGGGAATGAAATCTGCCTTTTCTGTTCTCGGTCAGGTACCAGAAGAACCTTCTGTTTCATCGGTTCTGGTCTGTGGATGATAAACAACTGCACACACAGTTCAGTGCCCTGCGTTCCATTGTGGTCGCCAACTATGAAGAGACCATAAAAATGCCCATAAACGAGCCAGCAGTGGGCAAGAAAAAATCCCAGATTCAGGTAAATACTCATGAAACTTGGGTGTTGACATCAAGATTGTTATTTCCCCGTAGGGCTGTGGTCATGCCCGGCGCTTCACACAGAAACAACAGGTACAAGTTGCTCAGGGCCAGGACCTAATTTCAGGATTCAGGAGGGCTCATGAGTCAGTGCCCACTTATTACACTAGATGGCGATGTCCCACTGAAGTTATATCTGGGTGAAAATCTGCAGTTATGGTCGGAAAAGTGACTCTGGGAAAAGAGCCTTTTCTTATTCAACAGAGCTGTTGTAACAGTTGTAACAGAGTGAGACAAACAGGGGAGCTGCTTGCACTCAGACTGAGTTTGCTGTCCTAATACTCATAGTCTAGCCCTCTTATTTCACTAGTAAAACACCCGTGAGTTTAATTTTCCATTTTGTGGCTGGCCTGGAGGCAAGACCTTGGGTTGAGCTGTGACTGCTTTTGCGTCTTTTGTTTGTAAGCATAAAAGCAACTTAGAAAATGCACAACAGTTGAACCAGAGCCAAAAAAATTCCTGCACTAGTAGTGTGTGTTTGTTTCTTGATAGGAATATGTGGAATACTATGGAGGAGCTGGAGTCCAGCACATTGCTCTGAATACCCCTGACATTATTACTGCTGTAAGTCTGGCAATTTAATGAGTAAAAATGAAAAGAAATCCAGTATGTTGTGCAAACTTTTTAAGTCGCTGTATGTAGCAGTGCCCTTAATTTTCTCTGAGCTACTGCGTAGTGAGCAAAACAGGCCAGTTCACTTACACAGAGCTAACCTGTGACAGATAAGGTTTTTAAAGCTGTTTCCAAGGGGTTTGCTTAATTGCTTCAGCAATGGTGGCTCACAGAACAACCCACTAACTCTCCTTTGTCGTATGGCTGCAGAGATGTCAACCATCCACTTAGGGTGACCAGATGTCCCGATTTTATAGGGACAGTCCCGATATTTGAGGCTTTGTCTTCTATGGGCGCCTATTACCCCCCACCCTCATCCCAATTTTTCACACTTGCTCTCTGGTCACCCTACATCCACTGCACATTGAATTGTCTCTTGCAACATGTGTTAACTCCTTACGCTTAACAATCCGTTCCACGTTCCGTTTAGCTGTGACACTCTGAGGACCTTTCCCACACTGATGAAGAGCTCTGGGTAAGCTCGGAAGCTTGTCTCTTTCACCAATGGCAGTTGGTCCAATAAAAGACATACCTCACCCACCTCCTCTAATTATTTTGCATGATTTTTGTGCATTCTCCTACCCCAACCAGCACAGGAGACACACCCATTTCTTCAATGGCTCTATATGTAAGAAGTTTGGTGGGTCTCAGCTCAGTGTCCACATCACAAAAACCCCACCACAATTGACATTACCTGTCCCCCTTGTCAGCAGCCACAGCAGAGAGGCCAAAACTGACTGGGCCACGAGGATTTGCCCTTCGAGGTGATACATCCAGGTCAAGATTAAGGCAGATTGGCAGGGGGCTTTGTGGAGGATGCTCATGTTACCATTGCACATGCTGTAGTTGTCAGTTTATACATATAGGATTAGAAACTCCAGGCCTGTCAATCTGATCTACTTCACCAGCACTAAGTTCTCTCTCGCTGTCTCTTACACACACACAGAGTTGTTGGGATACTGAGCACTCATACACACAGAATCTTGTTGGAAGACTGCAGGCTAACTCCTGATGCCATCTGTCCTGTCCATCGAGGACTCAAATCAGATGGGCTAGAGCAGAGGAGTCTTAGCGTAACCCACACACCTCCTGGGTGTGGTGTTCTGTCCCATCTACTTGCACTGAGACCACGTAGAGAGAGATTAATGAGTCTGCTACAGCCTGAGCTAACAGCCACGTGGCTTTTAGCCCATGCAGTAGAGGCTCATACACTCAGCTCCAGAGGTCCCAGGTTCCATCCCGCCCGCTGACAACTGGGGTCTGTCGGCATTACATTAGCATCAGTTCATTTCTTGGCATGTGTCTCTCTCTGTTTCCAGGAATTCAGCTGACTTCTACTGTGACCCTTTAATTCCTTCCCCTTTAGAACGGGTCTGGCTTTTCCCATTCATTTTTTAATGACATGGAAGTGCTGCTATAAGGGTAGGTTCTGTAACAGCAGCCATGCAGGCAGTTGGAGAGGCAGTGGTTGTTTATGGCTTGAATGAGTGCTAGCCTAGGAGGGTTGCACATGGACTGGTTTGCATCAGGAGCTGCCATCTGGCTCTCTATGCTGCATGGGCCCCACTTGACCTGCTGCTGAGCTCTTCACACCAGCTACTGGCATTTCCACAACCTAAGCCCTGACCCAGCAGCGACTTTGCTCCTCTGAGCGGGGCCATGCTTTAGCCAGTAGGGTGGGGAAAGGGGTGAGCAAAAGAACCACTTGAACGGATCTCACTCTTGTGTTACAGGTCACCAACCTGAAACAACGGGGCATAGAGTTTATGACGGTTCCATCCACTTACTACCAGCAACTGCGAGAGAAGCTGAAATCTGCCAAAATCAAGGTTAAGGAAAACATCGACAAACTGGAGGTCAGCCTGGTTCTCAAGGCATATGCAGACAAAACAATGCCATCTCTGGCATTTCAATAACACTTTCCAATCTGGAGGGTCGCAAACAGCTCTGCGGAATGCGATCTCTTCCCTCAGCACTCAAGTTGGGCGGGACTTTATCAATTGTTGGAACATGCCAATGTGCCCAAACTGAAACTGTTCACGAAAATTAATCGGTTTCAATGATAATTTTGTCAGGAATTTCTCAGGTCCAGGATGGGTGGAGGGAGAGACAGCCCCACCCCATTTGGAACAGGGATTTGAGCCTCCGTCTCCCAGATCCCACGTGAATGCCCTAATCACTAGGTATTGGCTATTCTGGGGTATGGAGTGTCTCAGTCTCTCCTTCCCTCCCAAAAAAACAAGCTTAAAACCTCTACATTTTTCATGAAACAAATTCTTGTTTTCCGTACTCACCACTAAAATCCAGCCACTCCTGGGGACAGATTGTGACAGTAGTTTTAACAACCCAGTGACATGACAATCATTTAGGAAGGAAGGAAGTGGAGAGTAATGCATCCACCTGAAACTGCAGACTGAATTTTAGATAACCACAACATAACTCCACAGATTGGCATTTGACCTGAACATTACTGTGTTTAAATCATAATCTCTAAAGATCCTAATGCCACAGAATTCCAGATATTCCAACTCAACCAGCTCTGATGCAGACCAGACATCAAAAAACTTTTCACAATATTGTTGAAAGATTCAGGTGGATTTCGGGGGTTATTTAGCACCAGCTTCCAGCTTCTCAACAATTCTCCAAACAATTGGTTTTATTGTTTTTCTTTCCAAGGAACTGAAAATCTTAGTTGACTTCGATGAGAAAGGATACCTGCTTCAGATCTTCACGAAACCTGTTCAGGATAGACCCACTGTCTTTCTGGAGGTCATACAGCGCCACAACCACCAGGTTTGTTGAGTGTTTGGGGCTTGAGAGGTTCTGTCCTGGCTGATATGACTGAAAATGTTAAGATTTTTCATTATCATTTAAAAAAATGAAGCTATGCCAAAAAGCACTGGTAGGCAGGAGCAATTTTGGCTCTGTTTCATGTCCCTGCGACCACACAGGGATTTTGCTCTGAGATTCTTAAAGTTAAAGTTTTGAAAAATGAAAAAGCTGCTGCAGAGACTTGGTTCCTTAGACCAACCGACCCAAAGTGGCAGCTGCAAGCAGCATGGTGGGATTTCTCATGGGACCTGGGAGCTGCCATGCTTTTGAAGAGATGCCGCTGCTAAGCCGTTTTTACAAAAGAAACATTAAAAATCCAAGTTGCTCTCGGTTGACCGAACTCACATCCTAAAGGGACCTTGGCCTGCTCAGGCCATCTCGATTGTTAACCAGTCTGCTGACGTTTGGCAGTCCCGGACCATGATTGTAATGGTATGAAATTCAAAGGGTACTTACCCACTAACCTCCTTCCTTCAGCCAGTGTCTCACTCCTTCAGAGCACCGTGTAAGACACCAGACTGGGGAGACTTCCTCCCAATGGAGAAAATGGCCTGTTTCTGGGCCTCAGTGGAGAATTCTCGTTATTGCTCTATTTGGTGCCTATGCACGCTGAGTGGATACACCAGAAATAGAAAGATAGAACCAGACTCTCCTGAGTTTGCCTGCTCTATTCCCTTGTCACTCCAGAATTATGTGCTTAATTTTATTATCATTCTGAGGTGGGAAGTAAAGGGGAGGCATTTTTACATATATGTCACAACGTTGTATTCTCGATGGAGTCTTTGGTATGGCTCTGACACTATAAATAAAGATTAGCAGCTTGCATAGCACGTTCCTCCATCAAACTTCAATTAATTAATCCTCACAAGATTCCTGTGAGCTGCAATAGGTAAGCAGTACCATCCTCAGTCTATAGATGAGAGAAACTGAGGCACGGGAAGGTTAGATGACTTGCCTATGACCACTGCAGTTATCAATGGCAGAAGTTCGTGGCTTCGAGTCCCATTCCTAGTCCACCAGGACACACACTAATATTCTGTGTCCTTAGGGAAGGAAGTCCCACTGTATGTAAGTAAAGCTCTTGTGGCTGTTTGGTTTACTCCTGAGACTCTGGATATAACAAATTCACTTGCCATGGCCACATGCCAGTTAATGTTCTTTTCTTCCCATATGTAGGGATTTGGTGCTGGAAATTTCAAGTCTTTGTTTCAAGCTATAGAAGATGACCAGGATGCAAGAGGAAACCTTACCATACTGACAGCAAATGGAGAAACTAATTTCATCTAGAGCCTCTCAGCAAGAGATAGGCAGCAGACACAATTACTTTCATATATAGAAGTGTCTATACAATTAAAAAAAAATCCCCAATAATTTGGGTAATTAGCCCAACACTAAGCGTATAAAACAAGGAAATTCACCGTTAAGCTTGGGCGGCAGGTATAATAGGCCGTCCAAGGGTGGCTAAGGCTCCCCTAACCCAGGCCATGGCCCAGCCCACACTCCGCCCTGATGCCCCGCCTCTCTCTCCCCCTCACCCCCGATGCTCATGGGGGCTCAGCTCAGAGAGGCCCGGGGGTCGGGCTGGTGCGGCGGGTCAGTTTGGGCTGGGCCGGTTCGGGCCGCGCCGTCGAGTCGGTTCGGGGTGGGTTGGGCCAGCGGGCTGGGTAGGTTTGGGCCGGGCTGGTGTGTCTGGCTGGGTCGGGTCAGGGTGGCACGTTGGGTCGGTTCAGGTTGTCGTGTTGGGTCGGTTCAGGTCGAGCTGGCACGTTAGGTCAGTTTGGGCTGGTGCACGGGTTGGTTTGGTCTGGGCTGGCGCGTCGGGTCGGTTCAGGTCGGGCTTGGCGGGTGCGTCGGGTCGGGCTGGACCAGAGCCTCGGGTTGGGGTGGGCCGGCGTGTCGGGTCGGTTCCGGTTGGGCTGGCACGTCGGGTTGGTTTGGGGTGGCGCGTTGGGTCGGGTCAGGTCGGGTCGGGCTGGTGCGTCGGGTCGGGTCGGGCTAGTGCGTCGGGTCGGTTCAGGTTGGGCCGACATGTCGGGTCGGGCTGGCGCGTTGGGTTGGTTCAGGCCGGGCCGGTGTGTCAGGTCAGTTCTGGTTGGGCTGGCATGTCGGGTCGGTTCGGGTCAGGCCACCGCGTCGGGTGGGTTTGGGCCGGCACATCGGGTCGGTTCAGGTCGGGCCGTCGCATCAGGTCAGTTTGGGCTGGCACGTTGGTTGGTTCAGGTCGGGCTGGAGCATCAGGTCAGTTCGGGCCGGACTGGCACGTCGGGTTGGTTCAGGTCGGGCCGATGTGTCAGGTCGGGCTGGGCCGGCACGTCGGTTTAGGTCGGGCTGGCACGTCGGGTTGGTTCAGGTTGGGCCGTCGCGTCAGGTCAGTTTGGGCTGGCACGTTGGTTGGTTCAGGTCAGGCTGGAGCATCAGGTCAGTTCCGGTCGGACTGGCACGTCGGGTCGGTTCAGGTCGGGCCGGCGCGTTGGGTCGGCATATCGGTTCGGATCAGGCTGGCGCGTCGGGTCGGTTCAGGTCGGGCCAATGTGTCAGGTCGGGCTGTGCCGGCACGTCGGTTTGGGTCGGGCTGGCGTGTCGGGTTGGTTCGGGCCAGCGCATCGGCTTGCTTTGGTCTGGGCTAGCGCGTCAGTTCAGGCCGGGCTGGCACATCGGGTCGACCAGCGGTTTGGAGCAGCTGGGGCGGGAAAGCCAGTGCTTGGAGCAGTTCAGCCAGGGCTCCTATGGCAACGGCGTGGGCCCTCAGGACTACGGTGGGTAAAAGGGGCAGGGCCTTGGGTATAAGGGGCGGGGCCAGGGGGCTATGCTCCCCGAATGGGGGGATTCACATGTCACCAATGCAGTTAAGTTTAAACTTAAAAGGAATCCAAATGTGATATGGTACGGCAATGTAATTAGGGCATTCCAACAACCATAACTCTACCCTCCACTGACATGGGGGGGCAGGATTTAAAAAATAATCAAATGTCTTTAAAATTAGTTTAATCCAATCTGGGCTGCTAAATACTAAAATGCCTTAATCAGCACTACAGGGTAGTGTTCAGGTTTCTGCTGAAGAAGGAATTTCAGTTATAAAGAATAACAGGGAGAAACAACCCATTAACCCTAATGAACTATTTGCATGTTACGTACACACAAGATTTCAGCGAATTTTAACTATATGAGAAATGCAAAGAGGGCAGAGTTAAGGTTTGGTGCCCTAACTGCATGTCCTACCTTAAGATGTTTGGATTTCTTTTAAATTTAATCTTACCTGTGAATTTCCTGGGTTTCTAACACTTGGTTTTGGGATAATTACAACGTCCCTGTAATGTGGTTTAACCTAAACTGCCAATATATGCTCTCAACCTTAACTCCACTTTAATGTAGTTATTGTCTAATTCATTTTAATTGCTAAGCTAATTAACATGTACAGTCTCAGAAAATGTGTTCTGTACTCAAAGGGTACGTGCGGTAACTTTGGGGAGGATGCAATGGATTGCCCATACGTTATAAAGGAGTTGAATCCCTGCTTTAAGTGCAAAACTTAACTCCGCCTTTGGGGCAGAAATATTTTTGGAAGTGTCAATGTTCTGATGGGGATAAGAACTAGGGAACGGGAGGGCGAGGGTTGGAATTAAGGAGAGCAATTGCCTTTTCTCCTGGCTCCCAATCAGCCCCTGGCTGCAATTAAACTTCATGCTCATAAAAGTGGATCCCTGTAACCAGATCTGCAGTTAGTGTCCCCAGCCTCTGAGCCTCCGCCACACACATTCAAAGAAATACTGATGAGAGACAGAGGCCTGCCACTGATGCAGACATCTACCAGAGTAGTAGCGCGCAGATGGCGATATACACACATGGCCAAAAGAGCAGAACAAAGCCCATCTGTTTGCTAAAGAAACATCAAAAAATAAAACATCCCAGAATAAACTTGGCGCTGCTGCCTCCTGGTCTGAAAGACTTAAAAGCAGCAAAGGGAGAGAGAGGTCGGTTCTCACTCTGCCTTAGGGAAGAGAGCCCAACCCTGGGTAAAATTTTCAAAAGTACCCAGGTGCCTTAGAAACTGACGTCTCACTGACTTTCAATGAGACGTAGGTGCCCAAGTACCTATCGCTTATGAAAATGTTACCGTGTGTGGTGTGAGACCAGGCCCTCGGCAAACCAGGTAGAGCCAAGAACAGAATAAGAGTCATAACTATGGGTGTTGTTTCTCTGCAGGAAAAAAATCTGGTCAGGAGACAACCCCCCTCCGCCCCCCCTCCCGCCCATGCTTGGAGATCCCACCCTTAAAGCATGGGTTACAGGAAGAGGCAGATAGCCTAAGAGGGGGAAGGGACTCAGGAAATGGTAGAGATGGGTGACTGACTTGGTTAACTAGAGGGAGGAGGCACCAATTTCTCACAAAGAGAAAGAAAACATCACTGACAGTTGATACTATACACCAGTTCCTAAGATTGCTTTCAGCAGAGATGCTTAAACCATTGTCAGTGTCAGATAACCGGGACAGTCCACGTTTACATTGTCCAATGTCATCACAGAGGGGGCCAAATTCAGCCCTGGCGTCAACTGACACAACTCTATTGAGTTCAGTGGTGGTGTGTCCATCTATGCCAGCAGAGAATTTGTTCCATAGCATCGGTGGAAGAAACAAGGGACAGGAGACCAGATTGTTACTACAACACAAATGCCAACCAAGCACCTGCGAGCACCTGACCTGGAAATAAAACGGATCATTATACGATTTGGCCACAGTTCTGTCACTGGTTTCCCCCAGTCAGTCCCCACTGCCCACATAACGTGTTATGTTTGACTCTGCCTCCCCCGCAACCACCCGCAAGAGGAGCATTGACTCAGAGGAGGAGACATGGTCTTCCTGCTCCATGGGCTGGCACCAGAGAGGTGGCCAGGAAAAGTCACTGGAGGGGATTCCAGGCTCAGGCCCCTGCTGGGCAAGAGAGAAGTTAGTTGGAACTGGAACAAGTACGCACACCCTTTGCCACCATTGTCAACAAGAACCTGCAGCTCCCCAATTCCCAGCATTTAGCCCCAAACTGCATGATTTGCAAAACAAAACAAAACAAAAAAAGTTTGCATAAATAGCTGAGAGCAGCAGGGTGAAGACACCTGGAAGGAGGCAGGGAGGGAAAGCGACCCACCAAAGGGGGTGGACGGGCAGATGAAAAACAAGTAGCCTGAGGGGTGAAGAGGGACAAGTTATTAGAGACGGGGAAGGGGGAATAGAGGACTATAAGATGGACTATAAGGTGGATAGAAAGCTGGCTAGATCATCGGGCTCAACAGGTAGTGATCAATGGCTCCATGTCTAGTTGGCAGCCGGTATCAAGCGGAGTGCCCCAAGGGTCGGTCCTGGGGCCGGTTTTGTTCAATATCTTCATTAATGATCTGGAGGATGGCGTGGACTGCACCGTCAGCAAGTTTGCAGATGACACTAAACTGGGAGGAGTGGTAGATACGCTGGAGGGTAGGGATAAGATACAGAGTGACCTAGACAAATTGGAGGATTGGACCAAAAGAAATCTGATGAGGTTCAACAAGGACAAGTGCAGAGTCCTTCACTTAGAACGGAAGAATCCCATGCACTGCTACAGACTAGGGACCGAG